TAAAACAATTACTTTCGGTTCCAAAACCAATTGTACCAGTAAATTAGAGGGTTGGCTATGGGCACGGCCTCTGCTCCCGTATTAGCCAACATCTACGCTGGATACTACGAACGTAAACAAAGGATCCCTTGGAAACAAGGAGTATTGAAATACATGCGGTATATCGATGATATACTTATGATCTTTTGTGGAACTGAAAAAGAGTTGACAGAATTCATTGCGGAATTCAAGTTAGGTCTACTTACTGTTAACTGGGCTTATTTAAAGGTGAAGATGGAGTTCCTTGATGTAGAAATCATGAGAACGAGAGACCTGACGGGAGTTAAATTAACCACCCGCCTCTTTAAAAAACCAATAAATAAGCACTTGTATATCCTATGGTCGTCAGCTTATCCTCCATATGTGAAGAAGGCCTTCGTTAAGGCAGAGCTTATACGATTTGCTATAGTTAGCTCAGAAGTCGGGTATTTTGCAGATGCTCGCTCACAGTTTTATGGTAATCTTCGAAGGAGAGGGTATTCTTCTGAAGTATTGGATAACTGGTTTTGTCAAGTGTCCTACGAACAACGGCCCCTATACTTTGCTCCCAAGGAAAAGAGTGAGAAATAGGAAGCGCCTTTTATGTTGTCCGGACAGTATAATCCAGTGTGGGAGTATATAAACGTTGAAGAGATTATTCGACAAGCGAGAAGACATTGGTTTCAAGAAAAAGAGCTACCTGATAGTCTTAAATAATCGCTTATTCGAAGTCTCCGTCGGTATACTAGTCTTGGTGACTTACTATCGATATGGAACAAGACGGTGTTACACTTTCCCATGTTGGAGTCCGAAACACAGTAGAAAACATTTGGCCCCAGGTTCGTTTGGGCAGATAGGGGTATTCCAACCCTCTTGAATGTGTTTTGACTGGCCTTCGAGTACCATGGCGGTATTTAAGGTTGGGATGTTCCGGATATTGTGGAGTACGGGAAGTCACGACTGGTAGGAGGGATTGACCTCTGAACGATTACCGAAACGTATAGATGTCGGATAACCGGGGTTGCGGCGACTGGCTCGCTAGAGGAACGTCGTGAGGTGACCAGAAGTAAGGTACTGGTCTTAAAGTTCCTGACTTTGGGAGTCTACCGTCCGCCCGGCTTGAAGCTCCTGTGAGTCGAAAGTAAGGGATCGCTCAAGTCATGATTTGTACCTGCCTTTCGGACTTCTTCCGATCTCTGGGGATCTTTGTACACTCCATTTAACACTATTGCTGGAGGGTGCGCCGAACTGGAACGGTCTTAGAGAGATTCAAACTCTCTGCACCCTAATCTGATGAACCCTAATCTTCGGGATAGAGGATTATCCGGTCCGTTGGCTAACATTCGGTGCCGGTGCGGATTATTGTGCCCCCGGCCTCCGATAATCGGCCGGATGGATGTTAGTCCGACGGGCGGACTTTGGTCCGACGGATGATTGTTTACCCGACTATGACGCGGATAACTACTGTTATAGTTCCACAGGAGGTTGATATCCCTGTCGAAAGATTTAAAGGTGGTTCGCTGCCCGCCTTTAACAATGAAGGCTGGCATTGCGACACGAGTCAGAACAGTATATCAACGAAGCTCATTGGAAACGATGAGTGTGTCGTGTGACACGGATAGCTCTGTTCCGAAACATTGATAGGGGTGAGGGAGATTCCCTTTACTTGGATTCGGTACAACTATCTCTCCGCTGGTAAAGTTAAAAAGACACGATCAAATCCAGCCCTGATAAGCCACCAACGGCGAAAAGTTGTGACGCTGTACATACACGTCCTCTTCGGCTTTCCCAGTTGATACGCTCATCAACCTCTGCAATCGTTACGCAGCCTCCCTTTCTTTTACTGACCCTAATGTTGACCCTAATGTTGACCCTAATGTTGACCCTATAGAAATTCTATTAACTCAATTATAACTTAGCGGTTAGGTATAACTGACCCTATTAACTTTACTTAACCTGGCCAAATATTAGTCTAGTCATATCCTTTTGGACCCCCACTGTATATAAAATT